TGAAATATATTAAACATTAAACTTTCAGTACAATTTATATGTTCCCTAAATCGCAAAGATCATGCTGGAGTAGTAAACTCTAAAACTAGAGGATTGTTCATCTATATCTTGGTATAGTTGAATTAGGAATTCCATATGGAAATTACGTATGATACGCCAGTGACCTCAATATCCTCCTGAGTCCTGATGTCCAATAGGTTGGACATCGAGATTTTATGGTTTCTCTAAATATGTACTAGATTTCCGGCAGCGAAACCCTCGGTCCAACGTATTGGAGGTACGAACGCAGGCATTGCGCGCGAATCTGATGCAGTCATGTTGTATTGTGGTATTGAATGCTTAGTATTGATCACGTTAACAATGGCGGCGTTTCGTCGTGCAACAATTGACGGTGAGTACAAGATTTGAGCGATTTTATGCGTATTTCTTGTTTAAAACTACTCAAAAATGATTAAAGAATAGGTCTAGAGTATATTCTGTTCATGACATGATTTACCCAATTCACTTTTTAGGTTATTGTACCGTGTCCATTCAGTTGGACAGTAGGACGTACTCTAACATTTTTCTATAGATGGTATCTTTCTTTCTAGCAATTTTTGGAAGAAATAATTGTCTTCGCCCTGGAGAAGACGATGATAAAATTGAGCAACTTTTTGATGCCAACTGCTCCGACCTTGAAATTGATGATTCCTCTGGCGACGAGGGTGGTTTTGATACTCCTGAAGTTCAACAAGGTCTTGAGGTAACAGAAGACGCCCCTGGTGAATTTTCAGATGAAGAAGATTCCGATGACGAGCCTCTCAGTGTGGTTCGTGAAAGAATACTCGCCGAACGGTTACCTGCTACTAGCCGATTGAAGTGGAAAATATCGGAAAACTTTATTCCCCCAAACTTTGAATTTCAAGAAGACTTTGACGATATCGAAACACGACGTGCTTGGAAAGTTCAAGACTACTTGGGAATGTATTTGGATGATGAAATTCTTCAAAATATTTGCGACTGCACTAATGTAAGATTTTTAGAAGAAAAAGGAAAACCAATGAATGTAACATTACCTGAAATCAAAATTTTTTTTGCCATTTCCATACTGATGTCGTGCTTGAAATACCCTCAAGTAAGAATGTACTGGGCAAAAACAACTAAAGTTAATGTTATCGCAACTGCAATGACTAGAGACAGATTTTTCTTAATCAGAAATAATTTGAAAGTTGTTATCGATAGTGACGTAACACTGCAAGAAAAATCGTCTGACCGTTTGTACAAGATTCGCCCTCTGATTAATCGGATCCGGAAGGGATGCTTGATGTTGCCAAGGTTTCCAGAGGTCGCTATCGACGAACAAATGATTCCCTTTACTGGCGTTTGCAGATTGAAACAATTTGTCAGAGGTAAGCCAAACCCTGAGGGACTGAAAAATTTTGTCTGTGCTGCCCCTGACGGGCTAGTACTCGACTTTGAAATTTACCAAGGAAAAAATACATTTTTGAATGAAAATTCTAAAAACCTAGGGATTGGCCCTTCAGCGGTCATTAGATTATCTGAAACCTTGAAAGAAGGTACACATATTTTCATTGACAGATATTTCACAACAATACCACTCCTGGAACACATGTTTGAGAAAAAAATCACGGTCACTGGTACGATAATGAAATCAAGAATTCCTAGAAGTGTGCAGTTAACATCTGAAAAGACAATGGCAAGACTTGGGCGAGGTTCGTCGGAAATGTCAGTTAGAACAGATGGTAAAATTTCGGTGGTACAGTGGTTTGATATGAAAAATGTTCTGCTTGCTTCTACAGGCTTACAGGTAGAACCTCAAGACGATTGTAAGCGCTGGTCTAAAAAATATTCAAAATATATAGTGATTCCAAGACCAAATATTGTGAACAAATACAACTCCTGCATGGGAGGAATTGATTTAATTGACAGAATGATTAGTTACTATCGTATCAGTACAACAAGAACTAAAAAATGGACCGTTAAATCTATTCTCCATTTAATTGACTTGGGATTGGCTAACTCATGGATTTTGTACAGAAGTGATCGGAAAAAAATTGGGGACAAACCTGCAGACATTTTGAAATACATAGATTTCAAAATTTCTTTCGCCAATTATTTATTTGTAGTAGCAAACACTCAAACTGCTGGTGAAAATAGATTACCGTTAATGGTAACCAGAAGCAATCTCTCCCTGTCTGTTTCGAGAACCCCTATGTCTGCGACGAAACAAAAGACTATGCATCTACCAATTGTGGCAACTGATCTCAAAAATGCTGTTAGATGTAAAAATCCAGGTTGCAAATTGAAAACAAAATTTTATTGCGAAAAATGTGAACTATTTTTGTGTCTTACGGGAAGCAATAATTGCTTCAGAAGTTTTCATTTACGTAATAATCAGTAGTGATCTCGTCCTGATGTCCAATTCATTGGACATAATTTTTTTTGTACTTCTGTGTGAATAAAAATTTCCAAAAAAATTTGGTGATGTTTTTGTACCAAAAGAAACAAAACCTACAAATATTGTCTTCATATTACTTCAAATGTAGTCTCAGGTCTCAGGAGGATATAACCTAAAAAACAACGAATGTCAAAAATCTAGTGTTTATCCCCAGAATTGAATAAGGATGGAACTATATAACTGTTTCACAAACACTTTAGAGTGAGAGGAGACGAGGATCTGTCCGTACCCTGTTGAGATGACAAATACGTCAATTTACATCAAGGGACCCTAGTTGAAACCAAGAGTTGAAACTACCAGAAAATTACGAAAGCGTAGAAGCGCCACATGATATATTTTTTTAATAATTGACAGATATAACTGTCAACTAGCCTAATTGACAGATACTAAGTCGTAAGTAGTATACTTGACAGATACTAAGTCGTAAGTAGCATACTTGACAGATACTAAGTGATAAGCAGTATACTTGACAGATACTAAGTCGTAATAAGTAGCATACTTGACAGATACTAAGTGGTAAGTAGTATACTTGACAGATACTAAGTCGTAAGTAGCATACTTGACAGATACTAAGTGGTAAGTAGTATACTTGACAGATACTAAGTCGTAAGTAGCATACTTGACAGATACTAAGTGGTAAGTAGTATACTTGACAGATAGGCCAAGAAACTCGCCATCGCCAAAAAACAAAGAAGATTAAGAAGAAGAAGAAGAATACAATGCCAACCTAACCAACAACAATGGATTAGGGAGACAAGATAGGATGAAAATCACTTCGGATTCGGAATCAGAGGACGTCCAATTTTTGCATGACAATGTTTAAATTTATATATTAAATAACAATTTGCTCAATTCCCAACAGTTAACTTCAGAATCAAAATCTGCACCATGTACAGGGCCATTTCTGTACACAGGGAGTTTCTTAAGTACGTGTACAAAATTCAGGAGCATATGTTGCTGACGTCAAAATAAAAAGAAAAGTTTTTATAAACATATGTCCACAAGTTATTCGTTTCTGAGATACAGAGTGTCAAAGTTTCATTGTCATTCCGGTTTTTGGTGAATTCGAGTGAGATACCAAATTTATTCCCAAAAAACAGGAATAAGAATCCTTTGACACTCTGTATCTCAATAATGAATAACTTGCGGACATATAATGTTTATACGAACTTTTCTTCTTATTTTGACGCCAGCAACATGCTCCTGATTTTTTTACACGTACCTACTCAAGAAACACCCTGAATATTTAAAGAGCTTCTACAGGGTTTATCATTGAAGATAGAAACAAACTTCAAATACAAAAGTTGTAGGTTGTAGAGGGTGTGTTCTCAACATCCAGAAAATTGTACGAGGTGAAATATAAAGACCCAAAAATACCATAATATTTAGAGAAACCTAAATACGTATTTCAGCAACTAAATTGCCAACCTGTAAAGTAAAAATGATTAGCTATAACTCCTTCGATTTATCTTTCGGATATTGTCTAGAGGTCGACCTGCAATATCCGAAAGATACTAAGGAGTCAGCCACTATGCGAGTCAGCTATAATCATTTTTACAGGTCTACTGAGGATGGCAACTTAGTTGTATTGTATGTATATTGTGGTATTTTTTGGTCTTTTTATTTTGTATTTTAGTACTTATAACCAGTCTCCAAATCTTCACTGTACGAGGTGCTGATATAAGAAATGGGTACCAACTTCGTTATTTTAAATGGAACACCCTATACATATTTTTCGAATGAATTGAGAATCCTCCTTTTCTGATTTCAAAAATATATAGGTTGTTGAGCCGGTTCAGCCGTTCATGAGGCTTTACGAGGTCGAACACTAAGAATAAAAAAAAAAAATGTCATACAAGAGCTTATGCAGTATTTTGTTGTATTGATATGTTACAGTTGAATCATCATTGATAAGTCGACTAGCTCTGAGCCAGTATCTGTCAAGTATGCTACTTACGACTTAGTATCTGTCAAGTATACTACTTACCACTTAGTATCTGTCAAGTATGCTACTTACGACTTAGTATCTGTCAAGTATACTACTTACCACTTAGTATCTGTCAAGTATGCTACTTACGACTTAGTATCTGTCAAGTATACTACTTACCACTTAGTATCTGTCAAGTATGCTACTTACGACTTAGTATCTGTCAAGTATACTACTTACGACTTAGTATCTGTCAAGTATACTACTTACCACTTAGTATCTGTCAAGTATGCTACTTACGACTTAGTATCTGTCAAGTATACTATACTTACCACTTAGTATCTGTCAAGTATGCTACTTACGACTTAGTATCTGTCAAGTATACTACTTACGACTTAGTATCTGTCAATTAGGCTAGTTGACAGTTATATCTGTCAATTATTAAAAGAAATATATCATGTGGCGCTTATACGCTTTCGTAGAAAATCACTAGATTGAAAAAAAATTTCGCTAGCGGCGCATTTTTTTCAGGTGGCCATTTTGCGATTTTCGGAAATCTGAGTTGGCAACACTGTTCTCCACTTCACTAGTCAGTGTCAGCTGATAAGTCTCATCAGTCTAGTCTCTAATCTCTAGTCATAAGCTCATAACTCGTAACCTCCTGTAACCTGTAATAATTTGCAGTTGAAGGTCGAAAAGTTAAGTCACCACATTTTTTTTTCGACTTGTTGAAGATGTTTTCCAGAGTGTTGAGGCCGTCATTGATTTCCACAAGAAATTTCAGTACATCTAAACAGGTACCCTTTCACCACCATATACTTTTTCTCTAATTGAAATGTCATGTATCTTTAATTTAATTTTTTTTTTGTTGATATTATCCCTATTCAAATTATTCAGTTTCCAGTTCCAACAATTATGTAACCATTTCAGTCATGCAATTTGATTTTGAAATATAATATAATATAATAATATGTTGATATCATTATGTGGATGATACCACCTGAACATGTGTGAAGGAAGCTATTTCATTAGATCCCCAAATTATTCAAAAGTAATAAATATTCAAATAAAGGGCGATTCATTAATATTCCACAAAACCTCGAGATCTTATTTTTTGGGTCAAAATAAGAAAAAGTCCATACTCATAAACATAATATGTCCGAAAATGATTCGTTTCTGAAATACAGGGCGCTCAAGTTTCTTAAAAATATCAATTTCCTATCAATTTCTAAATTGACATTGGTAGGTACATTAGTTCTTGTTTCACCATGGTTTTATGCAGGATAAGCAATATCCAATATATTGGATTTTTTTCCAACATATTGCATTTTTTTTCAATGTATTGGATTTTTTTTCAATATATTGAATTTTTTTCCAACATATTGGATTTTATTTTCAATATATTGGATTTTTCTTCAATATATTGGATTTTTTTTTTCAATATACCTATTAGAAATATTTTCAATATATTGGATTTTTTTCCCAATATATTGGATTTATTAAAAAAAATTATCATAATTGTGTGACCCCTAGACGCTTTTGTAGAATCGTTTTCGGACATATGTTTACATATGGTTTACATGAACCCAAGGACTTTTTTCTTATTATGACATTGAAAATATCACCTAGAAGATTTGTGCAATATTAATGAAACACCCTGTATAATTCTTTATAAAAGAATTTGGATAACAAGGTGAGTTACAAACACTGCATTGCATACCATTTTTGCAATAATGACAGGTCGTCGCCCCCCAAGTCATCTTCCCCCCGGGATGAGAGAGAGAGATCTTCATTGAACCAATAAAAAATGTTTACATTCTTTAAACAAAACATTACTTTTTGTTATACAGGGTGATTCACATAACAACCGACATAGGGCAGGGGCATGTAGGGGGTCCCAAAATATGGCAATTTAACGCAACTTACCTCTATACCAAGTTGCTTCCCTAAGGAGTTATAGGCATAGCACTAACAGCATGTCAACTTGCACTTTGAAAGAAAACTTCCCGTTCATTTTGAAAACACTCAAACAACAATTACTTAATTGAACAACTCACTTGCCTCATTGTCAAGTTTGACGTTTATTTTCATAGCCAACTTTTGAATTTTCGATGATTTTAAATAACACACCTAGAGCGCGCGTTTTCAGTTATTCGAGTTTTTGATGGAAATGATGAGGTTTTTCGAAAAATTACTAGAGTAAGAAAAGTTTTAGAATTGAATTGCCCACAAAACAAAGCAAAGATTTTTGAAATTCATCAAGTGTTAACAAAATTATGTTGAATATTAATGATGCGCCACCCGGTATACCCCCTTTACAAATTTCAATTGAACTCTAGTTACTGTCAAGTAACGCCCTAAATACATCGACGAAGTGTACCAAATTTGGTTGCTTTAAGTTCAAGAATAACGGAGATATTGATTTTTTCCAAAATTTATAACTTCACTTTCAAAGCCTATATCTTCTTAGGGAAGCAACTTGGTATAGAGGTAAGTTGCGTTAAATTGCCATATTTTGGGACCCCCTACATGCCCCTGCTCTATGTCGGTTCTTATGTGAATCACCCTGTATATATATCATTGTTGAAGTATTTAACTTACATGAGCCAGTTGGCATTGTCATATACTTTACACAAAAAAATGTACAAAAACTAAAACTACAGTATTACCACAGGTATTACAATTATTACAGTCAAGAATACATTATTACAGCACTGGAGAAAATTTTTTACACACTTGCTTTTTCTTGAATATCATTATTGGAGAACATTTTATATAGAAGAGAGCTCATTATACAAAGTGACACCCTTGACAAATATTGAGTGTTGACCAGAGCTTGTAGAGAACCTCATTGATTCCAAATCATTGTTATGTCTTATCTGATGAAAGTTAGGTTAGACAGCCTCTTAGAATCAATGATTTGGTATATATCGAAACATATGGTATTTATAAATAGCATTTAGGGGCATAATGTTTTAATTATTATAGAGATCATTTCAAATTTCCAATGAAAATATATTGTTTTTTTTTTCATTTTCCGCCCCTGAAAAATGTGGCTACGCTCATGAAAATACCTATGCTATATATGCATGATGCTGAAGTACACCGGGTGGTAACAAAATCATTGACCAGGGCGTCATTCTGTATTTGTTTTTTATGTTAGTCTTTCACCCCCATAAAGCTAGCAGAACCACTTATTTTTCAATTTTTTATTCGGCCATAATTTAAGGCTAATGCGAGGGCTAATGTATTACCCTATTTCTGAACTTATTGCACGTCGATTTATGCAAAAAAGACGTGGCTTAACGTTAAGCTAGCACAGCCACTTCGTAAATAAAAGTTTAATCACAAAACTAATTATACCATAATTGAAGCTAGTTTTAGGCTCTAATCCTAGCCTATTACCGATATTTTCGCACATTATGTAAATAAAAAATCATGGGTTTTACTAGCTTAACCATTAAGCTAACAGAACCAAATCTAAAATAAAAGGAATATAAGGATTTTGAGTAAATCATAATTTAAGGCTATTTTAAGCCTGTTTGTTGAGCCTATCATTGATTTTTTGTTTATCATTTTTTGCAAAAATTTTCCAATCCAACATGAACATGACAAACCAATAGCAAACCAAAAAAGGTCAATCACGAAACGAATTATACCATAATTTAAGGATGATTGAAGGCTCTAATCCTAGGGCATTGCCGATTCTTTCGCACATTGTTTTTTTTTTATCTTGGGTTTTGCTAGCTTAACCGTTAAGTCAGCTGTACCACTGCGTAAATAAAAGTTCATCCACAAAATTAATTATACCATAATTTAAGGCTATTTTAAGGCTCTAATCCTACCCGATTGCCGATATTTTCGCAAATTGTTTTAAAAAAAAATCATGTGTTTTGCTAGCTTAACCGTTAAGCTAGTGGAACCAAATCTCAAATAGAAAGAATATAAGAATATTGAGTACACCATAATTTAGGGCTATTTTAAGGCTATTCATTGATCCTTTTATCGATTTTTTTTTGTTAATCATTTTTTACGAAAATGTTCCTAAATCCAACATGAACATGACAATACAATAGCAAATCAAAAAAGTTCAATTACGAAACGGAATATAACATCATTCAAGGCTAATTGGAGGTGCTTATCCTGGCCTATTGCCGATTTTTTCGATTGTTTTTTTTTAATCATGGGTTTTGCTAGCTTAACCATATTAAGCTAGTAGAACCAAATTTAAAATAGATGGAATATATGGATATTGAGTACACCATAACTTGAGGCTATTTCAAGGCTCTTTGTTGAGCCTATCACCGATTTTTTGTTTTTCATTTTTCGCAAAAATGTTGCCTTCAATAACGAAACTAATTCCATAATTTAAGGCTAATTAAGGCTTTAATCCTAGCCCATTGCCGATTTTTTCGCACATTTTTTTTTAAATGGCTCCATCAAGCTAGCAGAACCAAATTTAAAATCGAGTTTAAAATAGATGGAATATAAGGATATTGAGTACACCATCATTTGAGGCTATTTCAAGGCTCTTTGTTGAGCCTAGCATCGATTTTTTGTTTTTCATTTTCTGCAAACATTTTCCCTCCAATAACGAAACTAATTATACCATAATTTAAGGCTAATTTAAGGCTCTAAACCTAGCCCATCGCCGATTTTCTCGCGCTCACTTCAGCTTTGAACCCATCAATTGTGTGTTGCCTGGCCAGGACCTTGCATATAGGAGCATATACTTGGTTGATTAGTAGCAACAGCTACATTTAAGCTAGCAAAACCCATGATTAAAAAACAACAATGTGCGAAAGAATCGGCAATAGGTTATTCGTTTCGTGATTGGACTTTTTTTGATTTGCTGTTGGTTTGGGAAAATGTTTGCAGAAAATTATTAACGAAAATATCGATAATAGGTTCAATGGAGACCTTCAAATTAGCCTTAAATTATGGTGTACTCAATATTCTTGTATTCCTTCTATTTGAGATTTGGTTCTGCTAGCTTAACGGTTAAGCTAGCAGTGATGAATGTTCGTTTTTTTTTAAATGGCATAGTTAATCGCCATAATTGTCGATATTGGGCTGATTTTAATCCCCATATATTTCATGAGGTACAAACGCAATATCCCCAAAAATTAAACGTATGGGCTGGTATTTTGGGGATCGTATTGTGGGTCCTTTCTTCTTAGGAGGCAATCTGACAGGGGAAATGTATCTGGAACTGCTTGAAGACAAACTTGATCCAATGTTGACGAATATTATTGAAAATGACCATAATTATCTGGAAGATCAGTTAATATTTCAACAAGATGGTGCTCCTCCGCATTATGCTATGCCTGTTCGGCGATATTTAGACCAACACTTCCCTGGTCATTGGATTGGTAGGCGAGGTTCTATTGAATGGCCTCCAAGATCACCAGACCTGTCTCCCTTAGATTTCTTTCTGTAGGGTAATTTGAAAAGCAGAATTTATAGTACACCACCAGCTTCACTAGCAGATTTACGGCAACGAATCACAGAAGAATGTCGCCAAATCATCCCAGACATGCTCCAAAATGTTCGAGAACGTTTTCAACAAAATCTGTATCATTGTATGGAAGTTGGAGGTGCGCATTTAGAGCATTTGTTAAGATGAGGATAATGTGAGTGAATTTTACTCTTAACTTGATTATGGCTCATTTCGGTTGAAAAACTGACGACCGTTGTTTCGAGAATTGAACCGGCGTTCAAACGATGTGCAACTCGACTCCTATTCCCTATTCAAATTTCAAGGGTTGTTCACCCCCCTGCTCAAGGGTTGACGTGA